CGTCGCTGGGCCCCGCGCAGCAGCAGCATCGGCCACGGCGTCCGTGGTTGACACAGTCGGCGCTGTACCGCTGACCGACACCGTATCAAGCGGCGCGTCCTGTGACGTGCATCTCGGAGGTGGTGAAGGGGAAGGCGGTGCAGCAGAGGGGCGCGATGCGCGACTAGGCGTAGGCAGAAAGTCGTCGTCCTCGAGCTGTGGCAGTGGCAGGTCCTGGGAAAGCGAAAGCATCCGTGCAAGACGCAAAAGTCAGCGGCAGGCCACGGCGTGTCTTGCGGCGGCGTGCCTTGCACGACGATCGGAAAGACAACTCACATCTAGCTCAGAATGCAGCAAGGACTCGTCGTCGCTTCCACCACCCAGGTCCAGAGTTGGACTGGCGCCTCGACGGGGAAGCGCAGGCATGTTAGGTCCAAGACCAAACGAGTGGCGCGGCTGGCCCAAAGTCGTGGCTGAAGCTGCCCTGCGCACTCCCGTAATGGGTGGACGGGCAAGCAGCGCTTGCGCTCGGCTGGCAATGGTTGCGGGAGCAGACGGCCTTGCCCGAGGCGCGACCGGACGCAGCGTCAAAGGCTTAGATTTGGGCGGAATGAAATTCGCTCCGGTTTCCTCATCGTCGCCATCTTCAGATTCCGGACTACTCCAGCCCGTTGAGGCTTGAGACAAGCGGGAAGGTCGACGCAACAGAGGTCCCGACCCGCCTTGAGACTTGAAGTTCGGTCTCGTTGCAGGTCCCGCTGAAGCGAAGCGAGAGCGTGGAGCAGGTGCAATCGTGCGCTGACCATAGATCAAATGCTCGCTAAAAGTGGGAACTTTGTTGTGGTGCTTCCTTTTGGCGCCTCGCGTTGTGGGTACATCGAGCACTCCCGAGCGCTCTGCCAGGGCCTCTAGGGAGACTCCAAGATCGAGATCGGACTCGTCACTTTCCGCATCAGACTCTGGTCCAATCGTCGATTCAGAAAATGAGCCCGAAGCGACGCTCAGCATGCTTGGCGATCTGCGCGCACCAACTCCCAGATTGCTTCTACGGCTGGACAAGCGGGGAGCGGAAAGCCTTGGGGGCCACATGCCGTCCAAATCCACCGAATGTGGTGAGAG